CGAGGGCAGGGTTTATCTGGGTTTGTGATGTCACGAACCTGGGAAGTAACTCGTTGTAGTCCTTACCAGCCGTTTTTGTAGGCATTAAACCACCAGAATTTTAAAAGACGATATCTCCGTTTACATTGAACTATCAGCTTCGTAACTTTGCAGATATTGTTTATGCTCAAACAGCAACATTACACACTAATTAATGTTAAAAAGTGAAATCGCAATCAACTACCCCTTTAAACCCATAAGTATTGTTTATATAGGTTTATATATACAGCCCTGTGATCTCCGGCATGATGAAGGACCGGAGCCGTGGTGGCACAACAGTGTGTGTTTGTTGTATTTTGTGCATTGTGGGTTTTGTGTCTTTGTGTCTATATGTTTTTATATATGTTTATATATATATATATATATATATATATATATATAGACACACACACACACACACACACTAGGGGGGTGTAACGATATACCAATGCCACGGTTCATTTTCACAATAATTTTAAGCAGCTGTTTTCATCATTGATAATAAGAAATGTTTCTTGAGAACAAAATTCAGCTTTGTTATTTGTAATATATCATTATATTAGTGCTCATGGCTTTCATGAGTAAGCACATGACTTCTGAATGCTTATTAGTTATGACGTAATAATTTTCACAAATATCATCTCAGTCACATTGTGACAATGTTTGCGTGATGATGCATACACATTTTGAGCTGTATCCCAACTGTGGTCTTTCCCTCAGACAAGCTCCATCGGTGATGTGGACGCCACACCCCAGAAGACGGACATCCCCACTTCCTCCCCATCAGTGGCTTCAGAACAGGATGTGAGTGTCCACCTAACACTTCCTATTACATTCTGCTGCTGTCAGACTTCCTATCTGATACATTGATCATTGATTAAGTCATTTCCTGAATAGTAATGGATAGGACACAGATTATAAAATACTGAAAGGTTTTTTGACAGAAAAATAAGCACTGAAATATACATGTTTTGGTATTACACATTTTATATATGTTTGTTTTATTTGCTAGAAATGTATGGAATTTTTATTCATGGAATTGTTGTTTTAATCCTTTAGGAACCAGTCAAGTTTCAAGCGACCACCCCTGTTGCCCCTTCTCCAATCTATCAGCCCACACTCAGCGCGCCAAAGGTAAAACGACCATATGATGTGTCTGGTTCATCATTAGCCCGTTTCTTTTAGGTTCTTTAAGGGTGTACTCACACTAGGCGTTTTGAACCGTGCCTGAGCGCGTTTGACCCCCAAAGCCCGGTTCGTTTGATTAGTGTGAGTGCTCGGGCGCGGTTTGTTTAGTCGGCCCTGGCCCGGTTGGAAGAGGTGGGTCAGGGCACGGTTCGGTTGGGCTCGGGCGCGGTACGCATGCAGTGTGAGCACGGAACATATACTATTTTGTGTGCACTACTGTCGTCATTACGACCGCAAACATATTCTATTACTACTACTACACTACACTTTTCAATTAATTTAATTCAATCAAGTATATTTAGGTTTATAATGGCTCTGGTTCTTACCTTATTGATGAACAGGAAATGTAATTTGCGAGGAAAGCGGCAAATTATTTCATTAACGTCAGCTGCCTCCCTAATAATTTTCTGATACATACAAGTGAAAATCAATGCACGGCATAAATGATAAATTAATCATTATGAATTATTCGGCAGAATATTAGCGAAAGTGGTTTTCATACATGGCGTAATAGGTCTCCGGCCCGGAATGTTTAGTGCAAGTGGGAGTGCAGGCCAGCGGGGGAGTGGGGAGGGGGGATAATCGTGCTCGGGCTCGGTTCAAGGCAGCTGTGCCTAGTGTGAGTACACCCTGAGTCTGTCAGCGTATTATTACTGGCTTTTCCACATCAGCATGCATCCATTCCTCTGTCTGTTAATATTTTGTTTATGTCAACAGCCAAAAGCTCATCAGCTAAGCATTAAGACTTTCTCCAGCCCAACCCAGTGCACTCACTGTACCTCCCTGTTGGTGGGCCAGATCCGGCAGGGTTATGCCTGTGAGGGTGAGCTGAGTATTAATGATAAATAAGATCAGAGATGGCGTCTCCAAAATGGTGGTTTGGGGAAATAAGGAGCTTTTGATCTAAGATGAAATATTTAAATGCCAGTTTCACTTGTCACATTTTTTGAATGTTTGGTAATTCTCTCTCCCTCACTGAATCTCTTTTAGTATGCTCTTTCATCTGTCACGTGTCCTGTAAAGACAACGCGCCCCAGGTTTGCCCCATTCCTCCAGAGCAGGCCAAGAGGCCTCTGGGTATTGATGTGCAGAGGGGCATTGGCACAGCTTACAAAGGTTTTGTCAGGGTGAGAATGATAATGTAGTCAAGTTTCTGTTCTTGCCAATTATTTTTGTTATCTCACCTGAATCCTTGCATTGAATTTGATTGTATTTCCTACTGAATGTTGTACTAAATATACATTAAATTGCAGTATGGGTTTGCTCCTGTTTCAGATCCCGAAGCCCACAGGAGTGAAGAAGGGCTGGCAGAGGACATATGCTGTAGTGTGTGACTGTAAGCTCTTCCTCTATGAGGTGCCAGAAGGGAAGTCCACTCAGCCTGGTATGATGGCCAGTCAGGTCCTTGACTTGAGGTCAGGATTAGTCACATTCTCAAATCATATATATATATATATATATATATATATATATACACTTAGACACAGTCATCAATTAATGTCGTAATCTGTAACAGTACAGTTCAAAAGTTTGGGTTCTGTAAATGTTTTGGGTGGCTTTCACACTAGCACTTTTGGTGTGCATCCAGGTTCGTTTGACATTAGAGTTCGGTTCGTTTGGATAATGTGAACTCTGTTTTATGAACTCTGCGACCGTACCCGAGTCTGCATAAAAAGGGTGGTCTGAGGTACAGTTCGCTTCTGATGTGAATGCAATCTAAATCACGGGAGTGATCTGCTGTTAATGACCAATGAATTGGTCAAACTGTGTATTTATGCTCACTCACTTTTCTGAAAAGCATGACGAGCTGCGTTTCCATTACAGATTTGCACAAAAACTTTTGCAATATTTTATAAATGTCGATAAAAAAACTGTTGCGAAATGACGGCGTTTCCATTAACCGATATTATGCGACGTAACAACGTAAAAACATCGTTTTTTTTTTTTCTCGCGCGATAAGTCATGGCGATGGATGTTGGTAGGTTTACGCATATCGCGGCCACCGCACTAGTCATTATTTTTAATCAAAGGAGACGTAGGCGTGTACCTTTAGCAAAGCAGCCTGGCGAGTCGCTTCTAGGATGCTTCTGAAACGTGGCACTGCATGGCTGGTGTAAACATAAGAATTGACTAGAGTGGCTGCGATCAGCTCCGGTGGCCGTGTCGGAGCAGTAATGCACTGCAGACGTGTGCAGTGTAAGTATGGGGTTATCCAAGCAATAATGGCAAGGAAAGCCCCTTATACAAATCATTTATAAAAGTATCAACTTAAACTTACTTAACCCAAACTTTTGAATGGTAGTGTAAATAAAGTATGTCATAATCTCAAAATAAACCCAAACAGGGTGACTACAATATTTAGCAGTATTTTTCATTTTTTGTGACATTGTTTCTTTCTTTTCCTCACAGAGACGAAGAGTTCTCTGTAAGCTCTGTGTTGGCATCTGACGTGATCCATGCCAGTCATAAAGACATTCCCTGCATATTTAGGGTACGCTCCAAAATGTGTCCTGTTCCTTAAATGATTCATTGCTACATTTGCCTAATCGTGCATCCTGATAATTAATCTTTGCAATATTTGCCCTGAACTGCACAGGTAACGTCATCCGCTTCAAACTCTCCAATCCGGCCGGTGCCTCTGCTGGTGTTAGCTGAGAGTGAGGTGGAGAAGAGGAAGTGGGTGGGCATCCTAGAGGGCCTGCAGAACATCCTGGCCAAGAACCACTTGAAGAACCGTGTGGTGCATGTCCTGCACGAGGCCTATGACAGCAGCCTGCCTGCCATCAAAACTACACTCTCTGCTGCTATCGTAGGTGAGTAGAGTGTTAGGGAGCCAGTGATCTATCAGTGTACTTTCAATGTAATTAGTCAAAACGAATCAACCCACTTTCCCCCATTTTCAGGAGAACAACAAGCATTTCTTGATGCTGTTTACATTAATTTATGTACCTCACAAAAATGCTGCTTTTCTTGTCCGTCATTACCCATATTTGACTTTGACTTGCCCATTTTACTTGGGAGTAGCTTTATGAACAAAGTTTTGGAGGAAAGTACCTACAATGGAGGGACAGAAATCACTCAGTTTCCATTAAAAATTTGGTTTAGAATATGAACAAAAGTCTTATGAGTTTAGAACAACACAATTTTCAGGTGAACTTTTTGTTGGTTGCAGGTTGTATTCACAAATATTCCATTCACAAATCGTATTTGTCCTGCTTTTGTCTCTACAGATCGAGAACGAATTGCGTTGGGGACAGAAGAGGGCCTGTTTGTAGTCGAGATCACCAGAGATGGTATGGGTACTCTGTATAGCACAGGTTTAGTTCTTTGCCATTATTTTCAATGTAATTAATTTCCCATGAACCTTTTTTCAGTCATTGTTCGTGCTGCTGACTGTAAAAGAATCTGCCAGATTGAGCTTATGCCCAAAGAGAAGATGGTGGCTCTGCTTTCAGGCCGTAACCGCCATGTCCATTTATACCCCTGGGCGGCACTAGAAGGTGCGGATGTTAATTGCGAGGCCAAGTTGACGGAAACAAAAGGCTGCCAGGCTATGACCATAGGTACCCTACGCCCTGGTGGCCCAGCGTGTCTCCTAGCAGGTGTGAAGCGGCAGGTCATCTGCTACGAAATCACTCGCGTAAAGCCCCATCACCGTAAGCTGTGGGAGGTGCAGGCACCTGGTATTGCCCAGTGGCTGGGTATTATTCGTGATCGGCTGTGCGTGGGTTACCCGTCAGGCTTCGCTCTGCTTGCCATGCAGGGAGAGTCGTCACCGGTAAGTCTGGTGAGCCCGGCAGACCCCTCACTAGCCTTTTTGGCCCAGCAGCCCCTGGACGCGCTGCACGCTATGGAGGTGGGGGGCAATGAACTGCTGCTGTGCTTCAGTCAGCTGGGAGTGTACGTGGATGCGACTGGACGACGCTCTCGAACGCAGGAGCTGATGTGGCCTGCCACACCACTTGCCTGCAGTAAGTGTCTCCGAAGAGCTTGTGTGGGAAGTAAAACATAATTGGTGAAAGTATCTAAGCAACGGTTTGTATTCATGTTATCAACCCTCCTGAAATTCCGTGTTTTTCATGTGTCGACTTGGAGGAAGGGAGGAGTAGGAAAGAATAAAGGAGAAATAGCAAAGCAGGGAGGAAGTAGAGATGACAAAGATGAGAACTAGAGGTTTAAAAGAGATGTGTAAAAAAAATCTTAGGATAAATGTAAAGAATTTTTAAATAATTTTCCAAGTGTAGTTCTTGAAATTAAATATTAAGTTGACGGGTAGTAATCCAGTGATTCTGGTCGATGCCAATAATTAGTTCCCTGTTATGACCAATAAATGATACTGTATTATTTAAATAAAAATAAAAAAAACAAAATAAATTATTTTAAATGCTACAAGTGAATTTAGGCATCAGAATGTTATAATGTACAGAATGAAAAATGGATATTTATGGATTACATTTAATAGTGTTACTCCATTTATTTTAAATGTTGACTTTAAGTGAGTGATAGATGATGAGAAAGGTTATCTAAATGTAAAAATGGAGGAGATGTAATATGAGTTTAGTCTTAAGTTAATTTATTTGATGGTAACCATTTCACTTGTAATTTGACATGGAGGAAAATAAAATAAATCAAAACTTGTAGGCAAACACTGGCTGTTCTCATTAAGGAAATTAGTGCAAGGAAGAAAGTTATTTTTAAGAGGCTCGATATCAAACCGGAAAGTAAGAGGCAGCCATGGGAAAGTGGTGGCCAGTGGAAAAAATGGGCAGCAGTAAACAAACGTATACAGAAAGGTCAAGGGAGCAGATAAAGACAGTATTGTAGAATGTAGCTATTATGTAATGATGTAATTTTTAATATATAAACCAATCCAATCAAGCCATTAAACATCTTGAAATTTAGGACAATTGTGAGGCTATTCTAACTGTAAGAGGTTATTTTTTTTACTTTTTCGGTTTTGAATATCTTTTTTCTCATGAATTTGAATTCTTAAATATTTTCTAGGAACGGTGTTAATTAAAAATAAGTTATTCTTAAATCTTTTCAACAATACTTAATATTATTTCACTTTTTTAAATTTTTTTTTTTTACTTAAGTTAGAAAATGGTACTTAAGAACAATTTTATTCTTAGCACTATTTCGGGAATCGGGCCCCAGATGTTTCAGACAGAATAGTGAACAATCCAGCCTCTGACCCAGTTTCAAGAAACATCAGGCAGTCCTTTGAGAACAGCATCTTTGCCCAGTTCATCTTTCTGTTCTTATCATGAGCATGAGATCTCAGACCCATATTCATTATTTTCAGGCTCAAACTCGAACTACCTGACAGTGTACAGTGATTATGGAGTAGACGTGTTTGATGTCCACACCACAGAATGGGTCCAGACCATCTCATTAAGAGGAGT